AATTCTAAGACAATAGGTATTAATGAAAATTTGAGTAACAAAAGAACGACAGAAACCAACCGGCTATCGAATTCGATACTCTTGTTCCAATATCTGTGTACCTGTCGTGAATTAGACTGTATTTAGCAACCCTATGTGATGAAAACGGTTAATTCACGAATACTTTGCATGACTTTATGGCGAGGTGCTTGCGTACAGAAAGAACTATATTTTCGCTTTGACTAGCAACAATTGCAACACTATAACAAAAATCTTAAGAGGCTAATGATATCTGTATCTTATGCATTAAACCCAGACGGTTTTAGCTGCGAAAAATACATAGACATTTTAAAAGGAATCCTTGTTAGAGAATGTAAAATAATTACTAGGCAACAGTTGAAATTTATATTTACTACTCAGTAGTCAGCGAACTCTACAAAAACATTGTAAATGGGATAAAAAAACGCATTATACCCACACATACACGGGATAGCGCAGTTGGTATTGCGACTGGTTACGGGCTGGACGACCGCGGGGACAGAGTTCGAGTCCCGGTAGTCAAGAATTCTCTCTTCTCCAGAGCTTCTAAACTGGCTCTGGGGTCCACCCACACTGATTCTGGGACACATCGAGCCTCCTATCCAATGGGTACCTCGGGCTCTTTCCCCGGGGGCAAAACGGCAGAGGCGTGAAGCTGACCACTCACCTCCAACTAGTGCCGAGATCAAGAAAATATGGATCAATACATCCACTCTCCCTACGCCTTCATGTCGTAGTGCTTAATTAGTTAAGCACAGGGACAACTTTACCTTTTACCATGACATACATATTATGTGTGAAGTGTTCCCTCTCATGCATAGAAATCTTTAAACTTAGCGCAGATCCATACCAAAACTGTCTAAAACAGGTTTTAGGGTACGTCATCATATAGTAACATGACACGAATAGGAAATTAAGAACGAAAATTGCCATACTGGAGACCTCGTTGAATATAAAAGATTATCCTTCCACCAGGTTGTCTACTAAATGTATGACATCCTCACATGTGTTTCAGACACAAAGTAAGGAATATGGCACTAAGTTACAACGAAATATATTAAGTTGTGTAAATATTGTCATGTGTCACAGTGACTAAGAGGCGGGATGGCCGCACCATAGCTCAAGCGGTTAGTCGCTGGCTTTTCACAGCGGCGGCCCGGGTTCGATCCCGGGTCTGGTCAAGTGGGATTTGTGGTGGACAAAGTGGCGCTAGGGAGGGGTTTTTCCGAATACTTCGGTTTCTCCTGCCAATCTTCATTCCACCAATTTCTCCATCATCATAATCACCCGGGGCAGGCTACAATAGGCCAATCAGTGGCTGCAGTGTCGAGTGGACCCAATTGGACTCCACCCCCCTCTAAGCGAAAAAGACGTGGGTTTGGACTGGTAATTCGATTTATTGGATAATTACAGGTTGTAATCACAAATAATTGGCCGGTCACGGTAGCCGAGCGGTCTAAGGCGTGTACTGTCTTCGCTCGCTTGGAAACCGGGATCATGGGTTCGAATCCCACTCAGGGCATGGATGTTTAGTTTGTGTGTGTGCATTTTTCTGTGTTTGTGTACAGGTAGAGGCCTTGCGACGAGCTGATCACCCGCCCAAGGAGTCCTACCGAATGTGTAAGATCTAGAAAAACCGAAGTGAACGGAGAAGTTCATGGAGGTAGGCCTAGGCTCACTGGGGCTGTAGTGCCAAGGAAAAAAAAAATCACAAATGATTACTATACTATTGACGATTTCCACAATACAAATCACTCAGCAGTAAGTCTTCTCAGTCTATTTCCACTAGTGTTTACTTGGTAACAGCTCCCCTCAAGGGCTATTCCTCTGCCGTGTCTTCACTACGACCGCCTCTATGGTCTAGCGGTCAGAGTTCCTGGCTACAGATCCAGAGGTCCCGGGTTCGATTCCCGACGCTACCAGATTTTCTGAGAAGTAGTTGGTCTGGAACGGGGTCCACTCAGCCTCGTGAGGATAATTGAGGAGATATTTCGAGGAAATAGCGGCTCCGATCTAGAAAACCGAAATTAACAGCCGTGGGGATTCGTTGCGCTGACCACGCGACACCTTCTATCCGCAAAAGTTGGCACTAACTTTGCCGACAAGCGGCGGTCGTTGCCTGGTAACGTCTCCCAACAACGGATATTTCTCACCTTCCGTGCTCACGTCTTTGCCGGATGGCGACTGTCTCGCAACTAATATATGACGGCAACTCCTAGCCATGCCTTACTAACTTTCTCGCTATATAACCCGCTATATAACCGCGTCACAGACTGTATAGAAAACACCACTTCTGACAGTTCCTGTATTTCTTACGTATCCGTTGCCGCAGATACAGCAACGGCTGTCTCTTCTGGTTACACTGTTTCACTTATCAGATGTCATATCACAATACCCAAATGGATATTATTTAGAATCGCGACACCGAACAGGTTGGTCTAAGGTAACGCTGAAGTCCCACGAACCAAGGTAAGCCAAACTTTATTTAGGTGACATTACCGGAAAAAAGACCTGTGTGAGTGCGTTAGAATTTAACATCGGTATGTGAATACAGCAAGCATGTTCAAAACAGAATTACGTCACTAACTGCCCGTAGGTTATGGGTTATAGCTTGGCCGGAAAACCAACTATCCGAAGGTTTTCTGTGTTTTCTCTTGTGCATGCATTTAAATTCCCAGAAAATATCTCAATTAGGCTATGAATGTTCCCATCCAAATCCCTTTAAATTCATAAATTACCCTTATCTTACCATTCGGTGCTATAGGCCTATAGTCCCGACACTGAAAGCGTCCATGACTAACTCACAAAACAAAATGTCTGACAGCGCATCAAACCTTGGACGATGCATTTCATAACCTGCAAGCAGTAGAAATCTATACTCGGGACCATTCAGCGCCAAAATAATTTGTGTTAGGTAATTGCTAGTATTTGCGTTGTCTTCTCTTCGGAGATGGGACAATATAAAGAAGGAAACGTGTCATTACTTATTCCGATAGTAAAGTTTTCCCTGTGCTCAACTAATTAAGCACTGCGCCATGAAGATGTATGGGGCGGTGGATGTATAGATCCACAGTTTCTTGACCTCGGCACTGACGCTGATCATTCTGAGCCCTTATTTATTTGGATGATTATAGATTACCATGAAATCTATTTCTAATTAATTCTCGGTAATTTTAAATTCAAAAGTCTTATGTTTCGATATTACTGGAACTTTATTGTGATCTATAATATCGTATTTCATTGTCTGGGACGTGCAATACGGTGTTTATGTTGAAATTTCTAGATTCTGGCAGGACCAAGGAGTCCGGAGTTCTGACATTTACGAGCAGTCATAAATTTAGCTCGGGTACAGGGAACCGGACGCGCCTGAAAGGAAGGTCAGTGAGAAGGACAGGTCAGAACTTGACACTTGCCTTTGAATGAGGGCCAGTATGATTGAGTTGCCTCGTTTAAACTTCCTTACGGAAGATGGGATGACATGTATATGTCCGCACCGTGGAGAATTCGAATTCGTTCGAATTCCCGGCGTGGGGTGTGCAAGCCATTCCACAAAAGGAGACTTTCACCATATTCTGAAGTGAACGGACGTGACCCTTGCACGCTCCGTGACCTAGCTTGCAGATCGTGTAACTCTATAACCTAAAGCATAAGGGTGGTTTGGAGAACAAAAAGGTGAATAAACGTCAATTGGCTCAACTCTCAGAAAAACGCTTTCTTCGGCATCGCCACCCTGAGACTCATGCAAACCGACCCAGCTAGTTTCCCGTACCTATACCGATCTTCCTTAGTTTGATCTGTGAGGACAACTTGCAGTGGCCATCATACACTGTCCTAAGGTAGAAACAGGTGTAGCAGGGATAGCACCATTCCGACTGCGCCGATACAAGCAAAGGCGGGTTGGAAAAGAGCGGTGTTAGCACTAGTTGGAGGTGAGTGGTCAGCTTCACGTCCCGGCCGCTTTACCCTCGGTACTCATTGGATAGGAGGCTGGGTGGGCCCCAGAGCCGATTTGGACGACGTGGAGAAGAGAAAACTCTTGCCTCTCCCGAGACTCGAACTCCGATGCCTCAGTCGTCCAGCAGTAGCCGTACCCGGCCCCCAATATTGGCCTTATTACTATTAAAAATAATGTAATTTATTTAAGGTTTATTTAGTGATGCTGTCAATAGTTTAGACTAAGTAACAGCGAACGACAATCAGTACATGATAAATTGGAAAGAAGCGGCCGTGACCTAATTTGAAACAATCCCAGCATGCTCCTAGAGGATCTGAGGAAAACCACGAAAGCTTCAGTCAAGATACGTGTGTTCCTGCCGATGTTCGAACCTTGGCTTATGTTCAGTTGTCAAATGGAAGTGCATTTCGGATTTCACGGCAGCAACAAAACTGTGTATGTGTACGTGCGTGCGGCTCTGAATATGGGGGGAGGGGGGGCTGTAAGCACATCAGCTGTCATGGCTATTTGCACTCGTATAAAGCCCCCAAGATAAAAATTTGAGATACAACAAAGGTTACAATTTTACAGGTAAGGAGATTGTGGTGTTGTTTCGTGGGCGGTTATGGGCGTTTCGAAGAAATCTGGCGCCTTGACAATTTATCAGCTATCCGCGGAATCATGTACTGTCATGTCAAAGACGGCCTCAATCTTACTGAAGGTGTAACATTCAGAATGTAAGAATGCAGTCTATATTCCAGGCGGGGCACGCGTTGAGGCACTGTGCTACAAACCGTGTTCGATTCCCGATGCTGTCAATGGATTTTTCAATTGACCTAACCTTCCAGTTGCATTATGGTCCTGGGGTCGACCCAGCCTTTAACAGGAATGAGTACCAGGAATCTTCTTGGGGGTAAAAGGCGGCCGGCGCGTAAGGCTGACAACCTCATTGCCATCTGTGAGCCGATTGTCTAGAAAATTTGGGAGCCTCGACGTCCCACAAGCCTATGGGTCTCCATAGTCTGTTACCCTTTTGCCTATATTCCAGGCCCTTGACATTCCGGATCGAGCACACCTCTTGGACGACATCTTCAGCTTAGCAGAAGCCGGGCGTGTGAGTTACAGTCTGGCGATGGACATGACCAGATACCTTACTTCAGAAACTGAATACATCCCATGGAAGGTAGCATCGACCAAATTCAATAAGTTCGACGTACTGCTCACTTCGTCGCCTTCATACGCCAAACTCAGGGTAAGAAAATGGCGGAATGTTTCATACATCCTACTTAAATGAAGTCCAACAAGTCTCCTTTCAGAATTACCAATTAGTGTTGTTATGTTTCTGTACATAGCAGTTCTACGCTACGAATTAGTTTTAAGGAACATNCTGATCGAAGTATGTAGTTCTCTAAATCTTTACATTAGACTTTCATTTGTTTGTTTGCGCTTGCTATGCTATCTAATACTGTTATAGCAATAAATAAAGAAGTATCCACGTATATTTCCACAGATATATACAAACAAAGGAAAGTATTTTATAACTAAACTTTAGCATCGAATGGGTATAATTAAAAGGAAATTTGCGCCCTGTGTTCAGTTATAATTTCAGTTGTAATTTGTAAGGGGAAAATACGTTATTATTCAAACACGCAGAATGTCCGAAAACTAGCACTGCACGTGGTACATTACCAGATTTTCTTATAAAATACTGCAAAATATTCCTACAGTGAGACCCGTGTAGCACATTCTAAAGCAAACTCGTTAGTCACATTATTTTCAAATTCTCAGCCTGTACTGTGGGTGAACCCTTTAATGAAAAAGAAGGACTGCGTGCTCTTTGATCGATGTTTTAGTCCTTTATTCACAGTAGTAATTTTCAAAACACCTGATTTTTTCCACCTGACTTATCTATGGCTTAATGTGATTCGTAGAATATACAGTGTTTATTTCTGCATTAATTGGGTCGTCTTTGTAATGAAAAAAGCAATGCGTTATTTGAGAGATAGGATTCGACTTTTTAAGCATTATGTAGATTAAATTCTTACATGTCAGTGCACAAAATTACTGTTTACACACCCCACCATAACACCAACAGGCGGATATTTCCAGACTGCCAAATTTTGTATAAATCAATGACATGCCAAACCATTGACGGCTTCACGAGAGAGGAGACGATAACAATTATGATACAAGTGAATTTGAACAAGTTTCTGAACGTACAGTTTGCAGTGCTATTGATAACATCCGACCGCCTCTGTGGTCTAGTGGTCAGAGTTCCTGGCTACAGATCTAGAGGTTCGATTCCTGGCGCTACCAGCTTTTCTGAGAATTAGTAGGTCTGAAACGGGATCCATTCAGCCTCGTGAGGATAAGTGAGGACCTACTTGAATGGGAAAGTAGCGGCTCCGGTCTAGAAAACCGAAATTAACGGCCGTGGGAATTCGTTGCGCTGACCACGCGACACCCCTCTATCCTCTAAAGTTGGCACTAACTTCGCCGACAAGCGGCAGGCGCTCGGTCGGTATAGTTCGCTTGCGGACTAAAGTTTAGTTATTGTTAACATCCATAAAATTAAAATAATTTAACAGAACATAATGTTTCGCATGGACTCTGCGACATTTCCAGCGCTCGGTATATTCTTCTGAATTTTTTCTGGAAAGCCTACGAATTGTGTGATTCAAAATGCAGATGAGCATGGTTTCGACAGCAAAAACACAGGGATCGCTACGTCGAGCCTCGCTCGGTACATGAACCATGTCCGCCTTCTTCAATGGTTTCGGTTCTTTCAGGTAAGACAATTTGCAGTGGATCGCCTCATCATAGTACAGTCCTGTGACTAAACGAGTCACCGTTTCAGACGCGGTACCTGAAGAGGAAACAAATGAAACAATTCTGACTAGTCATAACTTCGGAGTTAACTTCCGGCTATCAGACCATTAAAAGGACCCGTAGAAGATGAATTATGGGGAAATTCTTAAAAATTCTCATGAAAGATTACTAACTCTGCATTTCTTATCTTTAGGAACGACGGGCTTCCGTTCCTTCATACATAATATGATGCTATATATGAATATCTTTCCATACAGAAATACGTGCAGGCCTTGGTGTCGAACGTGTACAAGAAAGTTACTATGGCTGTTTCAGATGATGACTCTCACATACAACGGTAAGTTGACATGATACGAGAAAATGCTTTCAAAATTATATTTAAATAAATATTAAGTATTTAGTGTAATTGGCTACAAAATTTGTAACTTCCCTTCAAATCAGAATTTTTCTAAATACTGTTCAACAAAGTTATATCACGCGAATGTGTTTTTATATCGATATGTATTTATTTTTTGCTGATTATGAAAATGAGATGGAACATTCTGTCAACCACAGTTTTCCTTCTCTATCCACAATGGAGACGTGACGCCAGGGAAAATGAATCCCCCCATTGTCATCTGACATCTGCTGGACATATTAAGGGATACTTACTTACTTACTCA